TTTTTTTCATTCAGGCCAAATTATGGCCAAAAGGATTTTTTCTAAAATTTAATACTTGCATAACTCACTTAGATAAAGGATTATATTGTTACCATATTTTTTCTCTCACCTTTTAAGTAACGTGTAGTAATTATTATTTTATAAAAGAAATGCATAAACTTAAATGACATATCAAAAATAAATTTAAAAAGATAAATAATTTTACTAGTAATTTCTTTTTAAGTCCTACTCATTTTCAAAATCTCCAAGAAGAAAAATTAAGAAAAAATGATTTAATAAAAAAAAAGTGAATTTAGAAATGTGAAATAGATATAAATGGCCGATGGGCAAGTAAAACCCTGGTGTAAGAGTTTTGCTCAAAAATCAAAATCCTATCCCCTCTGCACCAAAAATGGAGTCCCTTCTTCTTACCTCTTCACCTGATATCGTAAAGTTGCTCAGCTCCTCTTCTCCTTGTAAATGTTATCCTTCCGTTTCAGCAAATGGCCACTCTTCTTTCTTCCTATACTTTCCCCACAAGAACAACCGAACCCCCTCTGTTATTGTTTCAGCATCAAACAAGAAGAAGAAGAAATCTGACTCCCACAGCTTTATTCCTAAACCTGATGAAGCCACTGGTCCTTTTCCCGAAGCTGTGCTCCTTAGAGAGGTACTTTTTGCTTACACCCATATGTAATTTTGGTTTGTTTTGTCCCCAATTCTGAACAATCTCTGAGCCTCTTCATTCTTAAGAGCATTGGATAAGTCCAATTTTCTTTTGATTTTGTGTGTGAGTACTGATTTAAGCTGAACCCTTATCACTTTGACAAGTCGCTGTTTAAATTCTGCAGAGGAAGGTCCAAGAAGACGGTAGACTTGTACCCGAGTTTGCAGATGCTGAAGAGGGTAAGCCCTTATCTGCGCAATGCTGTCTTACTTTCAGTGGGTTCTTTAGAGGTTGAGGTCACTAAAATTTTTTAGTCTAATTTGCAGAGGAACTGTTTGAGGCTCTAAATCTGCAGTTGGAAAGTGATCTGAATGTTGAACAGAGTAAGTATGGATCATTCTATGAGCTTCATATCTTAAATAGAAAAGCGCTTAACTTTATGCATAGTATCTGGATATGTTGTCTTCTTTGGTTTGTGCATATTTCTTTTTCCGAAATGGATGGTGGAATCAAAGGGTTCATAATGATAGGAGATACTAAAATAGTTGTAATAATGTTAAGTTGTTATGGTTACACTTACATTATGTTTTGGTAGAGATAAGTGTGTGATTTGGAGAACCTTCTAGTTTTAAAGACCAGTATCTGTATGAAACGGACCCAAACATAGAGGACTCATATCACTATTCCCAAGTAGTTGAGCACCCAAGGTTGTGGCCTAATAGTCAATGAAGAGGTTGAGAGCCATGAAGTCTACCTGGTATCTGTTGCTTGTGGGAGGTGGTAGTTCTCTCATGGAATCAGTCGAGGTGTGCGAAAGCTAGCCCGTACACCATGATCATCCAAAGAAAAAAAAAGTAGTTGATTAGTTGATTGATATAGCTATGTTGGAATTCTCATAAATTGCTTAGTGGATAAAAAAATGTGTTGTGAATTAGTATTTCGGATTTTGTGCAACATGTCATCTGCCCAATAACATCTGTGTGGCTTAGCAATGCAAGCCGAAGGAGAGCTTTGGATTGTGTTTTGTTGAACTTTCCTAAAACTTTGTGTCAATCCGTGAGCTAAGATTGTTTCTGACTAAAGTAGCATGCCTTGTCTCATTAATTCTTGCTAATATTGCTTATATGGGATGATTAACTCACTGAATGGAATTGAAAGTGCAGGAAGAATAGTATTGTTATGGATCTTGTTGTTTTCGTTTCGATTAATAGTTTATACTATTTTTTGACTTCCATGCTGTGTACAGTGCGACACTATGAAGTGGTGTATCTGATTCACGAGGATCGTGAAGATGAGGTTGAGAGTGTGAATGCAAAAGTTCAAGGTTAGCTTTCCCTTTTCATATACTCCCTCCGTCCCTATTTACTTGTCCATATTTCCTTTTTTAGTTGTCCCTATTTAGTTGTCCATTTTGACAAATCAAGAAAGGACAACAAATTTTTTCCTATTATACCCTTATTTACACTTCTTGAAAATTGTAAAAGTGTATCTTGTTTCCCTCCAATTTATTTCACTTGAATTCAAGTAAGTGGTTGTAATTTTGAAGTGAAAAGTTGTCATAAGGGTAAAATTGTAACTTCACTGTGCTAATCATTGTTGCCTTAATCTGTGTGCCATTTCTAAGGTGGACAACTAAAAAGGGACGGAGGGAGTATCAAACATCTATTTGTTCTACTAAGGTCCGGTTTTTGCTGTGTGCTGTCAAATGAGTTTACCAAGTCTTTTTTTTAAGCTCCCCACTTGTGGGAACACTGGGTTTGTTGTTGTATAACACCTCATGCCCTTTTCGGAAGAGCTGAGAATGGTGGAAATCATGTCAAAATCTAGTATCTCAGAAGTGGTTCCAATCTACTGGATGATGTAGCCTATGCTGCTCGGACTCTCCAAAAATTTTGCCGAACCTGTGTTGGATTCTTCAAAATGCACTACTTTTGGAGTATCTGACATGCACCCGTCGAGATTTTTGAGGAGTCCGAGCAAGATAGGATGTAGCAAGCTCACTTGTTCCCCATTAATTCTCCAAATGATGACGCTTTTGTTTCCCAACCAGCAGCAGTTTCTCCCTGTGATTTACATTTCTGTTTCTTCATGGTGGCTAAAATAACCCTGAAATTTGTGAATTTTTATTTGTAAATGCAGAATTTTTGAAAGAGAAGAAAGGGAGGTTGTGGAGATTCAGTGATTGGGGTATGCGTAGACTGGCATATAGGATTCAGAAAACATCACGAGCTCATTACATTTTGATGAATTTTGAGTTGGAAGCCAGATGGATTAATGATTTCAAGAGCATGCTTGACAAAGATGAGAGAGTCATTCGACATCTTGTGATGAAGCGGGACAAGGCAGAAACAGAGGATTGTCCTCCACCTCTGGAGTTCCATACCACGGGTGCTGGTACAGATGATGAAAATGAAGAGGATATGGATGATTATGATGACTATGATGAAGACGATTTGGAGGGTAAAGATGAAATAGATATGGAAATGAATGATGATGATACTGATGGTGTTATTCTTGTGGATGCTGACGACGATATAGATGATAGGAACAGTAGAAACCGTCAACAAATTGATACACACAAGACAGGAAAAAGGAAAGTGAGTGTGTGAAAACTAGTTGAATTTATTTTGTTCACTATCTTGGAATTTTGATTACTTATAATTTTACTATTAGATAATAGTTTCCTGATGTTGGTTCTTGATTTGTACGAGTCTGCCCCTTCCCTCTCGCTCTTTTATTAACCAGTCCATCTCAAGGGAGCTTTGATGATCAAACTTATATAACATGTTCACATGGTGGCTCAATGTTCTACGCGAATCCGTGGTTCAAACATATCATACAAAAATTGCACGTATTGGCGTATAGTTGTGTTCTATTTGTAGCATTGTAGATTCTCAATATGGTTTTGTTTTATTTACTGTATAGGAGGTTTTGTTTTTTCTTTGCTGACCCTCTTCGAATTCCTTTTGTAATGGTACTTATGGTAGAGATGAACATGTTTTGCCTCAGAAAGGGATTGCAGACGCTAGTTTAATAACTGGCCATGCCACGGGCCCTCCATTGTGAATATAGATCAATGTCGTACAGAAATTAACTCCGTCTGCAGGGAAAATTAGTAGTACTTTTTTGTTGTTTAAACTGGTAATAACTGTATCCAAAAACAGCACAAAGGTAGTATTTGAGTTCCTGTACAGGTGAGCAAAGAGGCCTAAAATATAGCCCACTTCAAATCGATGAAATCTAGTGTGAAGTTTCTGCCTCATTTGCATATACAGTTAAAACGAAGTAACGAGATACAATCTAATTTAATCCTCTGGACTGATTTGCGCTTCTGTTCAGATCATTTATCAACCACGAGATACAAGCTGGAATCATGTAGCCCAATATTTCTCGCTTTGTAGTTTGTACAGGTCCTGTATGTACTAACAATGCAAAAGATCCTAAGTAGACCATTTGATAACAGCAAAGTTGAAAATAGCTGGTCAGTAACAGAACAATGCCAGAAATAAAAAACAATCCATGCGTAAAGGTGAAACACAAACCAGGTAGAAAGCTTGTAACAGAAATAAAGAAAAAAAGACTTACTACACCCGTTCTCTTTAGTCAATCAAGAACAGAAATTCAAGGTACATATCCCATGATAGAACTGAACAAGGGTCCAAAAGAAAAAAAATAGTGTTTCCGAATAAGCCAACACCTATGATTAATTTGTATCTGAGATTTTCAATCGCTTTTGTTCTCCTACCAAAACCCAGCTTCGTTTACAGCAAATTACCCTTTCTCGCTCTATGCATAATGCCTCTTGCAAAGATTCATGCCAAAAAGATCAGTGGAGTTCTACAAAAATATGGACGCCATTTCATATGTCTGGTTCCCGGTTCTGACCTGTGTCAATCCTTGGACACCCCAAAGAGATACCCTTGATAGGGGTTTCTCATGAAACTTCTTCCAAACTATAGAGACTGGAAATAAACAATTTTACAATCAGTGTCAAAATAATAAAGTGCAATAACAGGAATGCAGCCAGGCTCCATCTAACAATCTTCAGAATTAAAACAGCGGTGATCATAGAAAGGTTTTAGTTCAATTCAATAAAAGACTGATACCAATAAGCAAGTAAGAAAGAACAAGAAAATAACTGCAACACTAGAAACACAGCCTTTTTAGTAAAAGGTACCTGCAGAGCATAATGACCTTATAAATCATTACTGCTGCAACTAGAGCTGTCTAATTTTTCAGAGTAGACACTAGACACTAGTTTAAAATACCCATTCTGCCTTTTGGTTGTACTCACAAGCTTAAGCTTATAATATCCTAGCAAAAATTAGCAATTTAATACCTGCAAGATCTAGTAAATAAACATACAAAAATATTATGATTAGAGGATGTTAAACAACTTTTTTTGAGGGATTCTTACTAGCCATATATCCCTAAACAAGTTGTTAATGCCACTTAGTCAATGCAGGTCTGGAGAAGGACCCCTCCATCGTAAAATTGCTTTCACTGCAACTACTGCATTTATATCCACAATGAAGGTTTTTACGCGTATTCATCATTCCAATCTGCTGAAGCAAGTTCACACCTTCAGTCTGCTGCCAATATACTATTTAGATATTCTAGTGCACTTCCATAGCCAATCTTGCTAAACAAATGACGGACTAGAACATTCCATGTCGATATCATGGGTGGAATGCCATCATTTATCATCTTCTGGAGGCAACAGATTGCAGCTTCCAAACCAACCCAACTGCACAGTCCATCTATTAGACAGGTATAGGATATGAAACCTGGACGCAAGCCGACTTGACTCATAGCATTCAGAAGTTGTTTTGCAGATTCAACCTTACCACCCTTACAGTACGCGTTCATAAGTATGTTGAAGGTGAGAACATCAGGTCTAATTCCCCTAACCAGCATTTTTGCCACAAGTTTTACAGCTTCCTCAAGCATCTCCATATCGCAGAGACCAGATGCTATAGTGTTGTACGTGACTAAATTAAATTCAATATTCTTTTCCTCCATCTCCCTAACAAGCTGAAGTGCTACCATAAGGTTGTTACATTTGAATAAGCCATCCAACAACTCATTATATGTGGTAGTATTACCTGAGCAACCAAATCTTTCCATTTGATTATATAGCATTAGTGCCCATTCAATTCTACCACTACAACACAAACCTTTGATAAATGTGTTAAAAGTAATGGTATTTGGTGGGCAATTTTCTATTACCATGTCATCTAGAAGGCTGTAAGCTTGTTCAAACATGAAATTCCTGCAGAGTACATCAACCATACATGTATATACAACAACATTTGGACGGCAACCATGATTTATCATCCTATTCCATATCTCAGATGCTTTAATTACATCTCCAGATTTAGCAAATCCATCAATGAGGGTGCTGTAGGTTGTAGAATTTGGAAGGCAGCCACTTGTTTCCATTGCACTATAAACAGACAGAGCCATATTCATATTACCAGCCAAACACAGACCATGGAGAAGTGCATTATATGCTACAACATTGGGCAAAATTCCCTCTTTGATCATACCATCCCACACATGAAGAGCTTCATACCAATGTCCCAATAATGAATTTCCCTTAATCAAACAAGTAAACGAATGACTATTTGGAGAACAGCCACTAACAAACATCTTGCTCATCATAGCAAAAGAAAGGCCAATATTTCCTTGGTCAGCAAATGCATTTAATATCGTAGTGTACGTAATAACATTAGGATCAACTCCCTTGCAAGCCATCTCATCCAACAAATCAACTGCCTCCTTAGTATTATATACCTTACAAAGCCCATTTATCAGAGCATTATAAACAGGAACAGTAGGAGTGAATCTCATGGCTACTTCTCTGGCTTCTTTTACTTTACCAAACTTACACAAGGAAGACACAATTGTTGTATAGCTCACTTCATCAGGAGAACACCCCTTGTTCGACATTTCCATAAGTAACTTCAGAGCTCCATCTACTCTATTATTCTTGCACAATGCTTTCAAAAGAATGTTATAAGTATACACATTGGGAACAACCCCATCTTTCTTCATGTTACTATAAATAGGATTAATCATGTGAAACCTATTTTCACTAAGCAAAGCATCCAAGAGATGATTATATATCCTAACTGTAGGCTTACACCCAAAATCCTGTATCCTGTAGAATGTCTTCAATGCTTGCTCTGCCGCGTTACCTCTCCTATAAGAATCAATCACACTGATAAATATATCTTCGGAACAACTAATACTTTCTAATTTCATCTGTTGCAAGAGGTATTGAACAGTATCCATCTCCTGCTGCTGCCCAAGTTTTTCCATCATTAATTTATATGTTAAAGGGGTGTGCTTGAAAAATGTTGAATTAGCAACCCATTTGAAATACTCTAAAGCATTTGAAATATTTTCTTCATATTTCAGTCTCTTTAATACATCAGATTCCTTGAGCTCAACGGGGGTTTTACCACCATTAAGTTGATCAACATTGAAACTTGGGTTTACATTGTTGAGGATTAAAGGAAGAGACTTTTTGTGGACTTTCAACAGCAATGAACATCCTTCTTTCAAGTACATAGTACAATCAAAGACACAAAGAAAGAACCCAAAAGAGAATTAAGTAGCAACTAGGTATTGAAGAAAGAAAGAAATTGTCAACGAGTTTTCCGGTAGAGAAACTATACCTACGGTGCACGGGATAAACAAAATTGAGAGAAAACTACTGAGTTGCACTCCGTGCTGATAGTTTTCCGGCAGGTAGAGGAACGCCGGGACCGTTAAGGCGTTAAGGGTCCGAACACGGTAGCTTTACGACCCGAATACGTTATGGACAAAGAGGAACTGGGGCAAGTACACAAATAGCCAATATTGGGATTCTAAATAAGTTTGTATTTTGAACCCTTTCATTAATTTAAGGCAAAATTATTAAAGTACACTACATATGTTTACCTATTATCAATTAATCCCTTCTCTTTCATAAAAATCCAAAAATCCTTACTTTTCCCCAATTTCTCTTTTTCGGATACTTAATTATGAAAGAAATCAAACCCATCTTCCTCACCTCCAAAATCTCGCCTATAATCTTTCCCACTACCAAATCGGTTACCGCTTTCAAAGCAATTGGATTTTCAAACGATTCAACAGTCCCAAAGTTCAAAATAGGTATTATCTTCTTCTTCATTTTTCTTTCAAAATCATTTTTTTGTTTCAATCGATTTTGAATTATTTGTCACAATGGATCATCCGTCTTTTAATAGTGGGATTTCCCAATTAATAACACCTAACAATGAACAAATTTTTGAATCTGAACACCCCAACTTGATTGAACAGAGGTCTAAAAGCTTACATGCAACGGCATTAATGGCGAATCGAACTTCTACCAAGAGAAAATCGAAAACGGAAGTGGGGTCATCATCTAAAGCAAAGGATGCAAAAACTAAAAAGAAAAGGGGTAGAAAGGTTGCCCCTCCCATTTCCCGACCAACACTATCCATGGTATGTCTTTCTTTTGCTTTTAATTTTAGACATTATTGAAAAATAAACATTGTAATCTGTAGTTTTAACCTAGAAACACTGATTGTTTGGGTTTGAGTTTAACTTTTAAATTTGTAGATGAAAGATATGGTTGAAAAATATAGTTTTATTGTATATATTGAAATCTGGAGTTTTTTTACCAGAAACACTGATGTTTTATCTGATATTGATATTGAGTATAAATTTTACATTTGTTGATGAAACACATTGTTGAAAAATAAAGTACCTTGGTATATACTGAAATGTTGAGTTTCTACCCAGAAACACCGATATTTTATCAATTGTTGGTATTAAGGTTTCATTGTTGAAAAATAAAGTATCTTGGTATATACTGAAATGTTGAGTTTCTACCCAGAAACAAAGAATAATGTGCCAAAGATAACACCAGACATGCAAAAGAATCAACATTTTAAACTCCGATTTCACAACCCCTAAATTTTTATAATGTATCTAGTGTTCATCTTATTTACACATTTCATTCAATTTATAATGTATCTTCTTTCTGTTAGCAGCAACTGCGGAACATATGTAGCTGCTTTTGCTGAATTTCTGAGCCACGAAATCAAGGTCCCATCGATTCCTTTTCGAAGTGAATATCTTCGCTCAAGATATGCAACACTGTTATGGAAATATGAAACTGACAAGGTCAATGTCGGATACGTTAGCGAGAATGACGATCCTATAAGGCTAAATGTTGCTTCCATTCTATTGGCAGATGATGAATTGATTAATGTAGAGTAGTTGTTTATTGATTGACTTACTGTAAAGATGTGAAGTTTTACTGTTTCGAAGATACATTAAGTGTTTTGTAGTATTCCTCTCCAGATCTACATTATATTTCTAAGTAATTAATTATTCTATTTTTGAAGAGTTTTTATTTCCACACTTTTTATGTCGCTTCTAAATTAGTTTTCACTGCATTTAATACCTTATTAATTTTTCTATAATAAGTATTATACATGTCAATGCAGATTTTACTACAATGAATCTGATACAAAATTTCATCTCCCATATTAAGTATTGATTCAAATGATACCTTTTTTAAATGTTGTCTCTATTAACTTTGGCACACATCACAGCTATTTGGCACTATTAATTTATGTAAAAATTATAAAAAGCACATAGTATACCACTCTAATTTTTATAATAAATTGACAATCACATAATGTTGCCAGATAGCAAAACATAACATTATTCATTTATTGCATCATAAAATAGTAACCTAAAAGTACTTCCTAAAGTATCAAATTTGAGAATTATTAGACATGAATCATAAAATAGTAACATAGATCATTATTGTTAGGCAAAATTACTAATGCGTGAATTGTGGCAGTTAATTTTTAAATCCCTTACTTAACGCATAAAACTGTTAAAATCCTTTTTTTAACACACTGACCTGATAATTACAACTTCTTAATTAAAGTATCCGACCGCATATTAAAGTATCCGCAACACAAAAAAAAGAAGGAAATTTCGTAATTTATGAAAGAGTAGGGACAGGAAGTAGTTTGTTTAATATACTATGTGCTTTATATAATTTTTACTTAATTTAATTCTTTGCCAAAATCTAACCCATTGAAATTTAGGGCCATTTGGAAAGTCATCCTTGTAATAATTTAATATAATTTTGTGTAATTATAATGTCTGATTTATTTAATTGGTGATTTAATTATTTGATCAACAGGTAATTTGATGTAATTGATTGGGGTAATAACACTATCCAATTCCCAAAAAACAAATGTGAATTGTTGGTAATTACTCCCTCCGTCCCATTTTATATCTCACATTTTTACTTTGCACTTGTATTAAGAGATAATGTAACTTTACCCTTCTACCCTTATTTAATGGTTTCTTAAGTCAACTTTATTAATAAATGACAAGATTAATTAACTATTCTATCAAGGGTATAATAGGCAAAATATGGTAATTTATGCATAAATTTTATAAACTGACAAGTATTGTGGTCCAACTATTTATAGAAAGGGGTGACATATAAAATGGGACGGAGGGAGTACATGATATAATTATAAAATGATTACTTTTTAATTTCTTTTTTTTTCTATTTCAATTTTTTCGTTTAAACTTTGTTTCTATTTTTATTTTTATTTTTCTAAAATTTTCTAGTTAATTTTTATTGTATATTATTTATATTTCATTTCTTTCTCATTCTTAATCTTTACTTCATGTGATTCTATGCAATTTTTTGTATTATCTATTTTTTATAACATGTTTATTTATTTCATTAGTATAATTTTGCTAGTATTCTAATTTTTAAATTAAAATAGAATTCATTGTTGAGTAAGATTATAGACTTATGTTTTCATGTTCTTTAAAATCATATTTATGTATGTTATGTTGAAATTTGACACGAGTAAATGTTAAATTTTTTGTTTTGAATTTAGAACTTATGTTTATTTTTAGCTTCATTTGTTTTAGTAGTATTGACTTGAAACTTTACATTGCAAGTCATTTATTTTTTAATTAGACTTGATAGATTATCTTTTTGTCAAATATTTTAATAATTTATGACATTTTATTTATAATATTAATCTTTTGTCAAACATGCACGTCATGACGCTCATCGAATTTTCAAGCATTATAACTAAATTCAAAAAGATTAATAAACATCACGCATTAATCATGTGAAACACGTAAAATCTATCATAATTTTCAACCTTTACAACTCTGAGCCACCACTTGCATTCAAAATGTACACATTTGACACAATAAACATCACTCGAAATTATCACCTTTTTTATTCTTAAATCTTTCTTCACACAAGCAATTTTCAAGAGAATATCTAGCTCTTGCTTATTCTTAAATTAAATTAAATGACATATCAATGTAAAAATCTATTTCGTCCAGTTCCTGATGTATTACAGCCAACTTGAGGAGTAGGAGTTAAAATAGAAATATGAGTATAAGGAGTTTTGTCTTCACAAGCACTTTCTTTTTCTGGAATATTTATGTTCACCCAATCATATTCATCATTTAACATTTGTTGATCCTAACAGTTCTCGATCAAGTTTCAAGCACATGTACCCTCAAAATGGTTTTACCTTGATCTTCCAAATAAGTATGCAAACTTCTTTGATTTTTTTTTATCTTAAAAGGAGCTACCTTTTACTTTTCACTGCAATGATGCATGTAGGTGATGACAAGATTTTTCAACTCACAATTTACATCACAACAGGAAATGATTTTGTTAGAAAAATTATCAAAGATGACATCTCGATTTACAGTTTCTATATTTTTTTTATTTCTTCAAAATATAACGATTGTTGGATTTGACCCATTTATCATTGCAATCAACTCTAGTTATTATTTTTTCCTTCGTTGATTGTGTTAAAGGTAGATATTTATATTATGATGCAAAAAATAATAATATTGATAATAATTTTATTATGATTTTGTCTATAGTTTATTCAACAATTAGCTAGCAATTGCTGCATCAATTAATGTAGCAGCTGAAATAGCTGCATCATTTGATGAGTATGTTTCAACAATTGTATCTGTTTTAGTAATTGATGCAGCAATTGCTGAAACATATTCAGTAAATGTGCATCAATTGTTGCAGCACCTACAACAACATTTGCTTAATATATTTTAGCAATTGAACCAATTAGTGCAGTAAATACTAAAATAAATACAACAATTTATGTAACATACAGAATAATTGTATTTGTTTCATCACCTGCTACATTTGTTTCAGTTGCCGATGAAGCAATTGCTAAAATATATGCAATAGTTGCTGAAACGAATACATCAGTGAACGAAACAGTTGAAAAATTCAAATGAGCAACACACACAAAATAACAATATTCATCTGATGAAGTAGTTGTTGAAACATATGTAGCAGTTAGTAAAATGAATACAACAATGATTTGAACAATAGAAAAGAATTCAGATGAGTAAGACACACAAAAAAGAAAGACGGAAATTGAAAAGATAAAACAACAAGCAAAAAAAGAAGTACAACAATTAGCAGAAGTAAAAAATACTAAAATAATAGAACTAGAAAAAGGACTGGCAATATTAAAAGA